TCGATAATGGTCACATTCAATAAAATGTTCCAAAATATACAGACGAACACGAAGTAATAAAAAAGTACAATTTTCTTTTTACGCTCATTTACTCGGTTCAACTTGAGTTTCTATGTCAGCTGGCTCTTCCACATAGTAACCATTTGTCAGCGCCATCGGTTTTTGCTTGTCCGTTGACTGTACATTTAGGAGTTGAACATTCATTGCAACTTTTCTGTTGAGAATCTCCAGAAGCTTCCTCTTCAGCTTCTTCTACAACATTTTCGTTTTCAAGACGTTCACGTTTACGTGGACTAACAGCCTCACTCCCATCATCTTCAGCAGCTATCTCGCAGTCTTGTTCAAAAACATAGTTGTGAATTTGGTAGGCAATCTCCGTTTCGACCATGTTACTGGGAAACTGCATCTGATGTTCAAAGTCGCTGAGGTAATATACCTTTCCGTAGGTGTCCACCACATAGGTGGCAGTATTGCAGGTCGCCGTCCATTGTGGTACGTAGTCGTGGAGGTAGGCACTTTTGTAAGGAGTAATATTTGGCAACACCTGCGGTATACAATAACAACCCGGACTGTAATATTCTAATTCGCTTTCCTCTATGCTGGCACATGGCACAACCGATTTCCGATTGGAGTTCCGTTTTCTTGACATTTAACCCGACTTTATGACTTTCAAATCTAGGCTTCCAACTGGTCGGGGGCCTCTATCGGCTCCAATTGATTGGCGACGTTGGTGCAAATGCGTAAATAAAAAATATGCATTTGAAATTGGCGCATTAAATAGAAATTTAAGTAGATTTCCAATATCATCAAGTAGCACAATAAGGATTGTTTATATAAGTATATAAATATATATTTATAAAATAGATATGCAGTCAAAGCAGTGACAAAAAAATTTTGAACTTGTTTGCTACAAATTTTGTTTTTTTGAAAGCTCTCAACATGGCTCTCAACTATGCTACTCTCCAAGAATAAATGTTAGAAAGCAACTTATGTCGAAAAGATATTTTTTTTTATTTTTGATAGATTGCCAAGCTATCAATCAACAGAAGTGAGTGCACATGAGAGCGGATCGAAAAAGTTTAAAAACCAGTCTATATTTTAAGGGTTATGCTGACTACACACGGGGCCACCGTTGAAGCAACGTGTTGACGCAACCTATTTTTCTTGTTCAATATACACGAGGCAACCATTGCGGCAACCTCAGTGGTGTGTGCTCTGTTATGAAATGAACATACGGATGAAAATTTTGTTTTCTACCAAAACACCTTTTTAGCTCAACTGTTTTCAATGAGCTAAGGCCGATTTCGTTTCTACCGAAAAATGCATCCTTCTCTTTGCTTTCTACGCCCAAACACTAAAAAAAAGGGCGACGTGAAGGCAACATTTTTTATAGAAACGAAAACGCCATAATCCAATAAACTCAATACACAACGAAACACGCGAGGCAACCGTCACGGCACCAACACAAAATATCAAAATATTTTGATTTTCGTGCGACGGTGCGGCAACACGATTTTCTATGAGCAACAATGATACACACGAGGCAACGGTGGAAGCATCATGCCCTGATTTTTTCAACGGTTGCCTCGTGCGTAGTCAGCATTAGGGTAAGTGTATCCCTAATTTCAATTATGAATTTAGTAATTTGCCTTTAAGGGCCTGTGCCAATTGATAGAAAAGTTCTCTGGATAGTAAATTTTTGACAGCTATGAGGTGAATAAAAATGTTTGATACGGCAGGGCTAGTGAAAAATTTGACAGCAAGCATTATCAAGAAGAAGAACGAACAACGCACGTATACACATAAATTAAAGAAAACAAAAGCGAGTGGAAGTAAAAGAAAATGGTCCCGCCGGCAAAAAAAATAAAGAAAAGCTATATAACTTGTAAGATTTAATTTCAGATTTACATATGAAAAGGCGTTATGTATTTTTTTAATTAAAAATACTATTTTACAGGGAGCAGTTCAGAACGCAGAATCCTTCTGGAAAGGCGAATTGACAAGGATGTTTGGTTCAGCTCAAAGAACGCCAACAGCAACGAAGGCTGGAAGTGAGTAAGAACAATATAAATAATTTGAAGACTTTATTAAGAAGTTTTTTCTTAGAAAAATCGCGAATGAGCTGAAGGATCGCCTGGACGGTAAAAGTGCTGAAGCATGTAAAGCACAATGGAATGCGTTGATGAAAAAATATAAAAGCTTTTTCAAATACCGCTCGGGCGATGGAACAGGTGAAGAGGCGACTGCTGAAGAGGCGAAAGATTGGGAGTTTTTTGACTGCATCCACTCATATGCCTCAAAGAAAGATAATTTTCACCCTCCATTTTTAATTGATAGCGGCGATGGTGAGGTGTCGATGCAGCCAAGGAGAGAGGAAAACGCCACATTTGTCTCGGCACTGCAGCCGGTTGAGTCCTTGACAAATTCGCAGTCGACGTCTAGCGAAGAGTCGAGACAGAGTCCGCTGCCATCAACATCCCGGCGCTCTGCAGCACAAAATGGCGTTAAGCAATTAGAACGCCACATTTATAAAAGGGATAAAAAAATAAATAAAAAAATATCAACGCTTTTGGCTGTATTTGGGCAAATGGTGCAGACGGACTATCCGCACATCGACGCATCAGCGCTGCTCTTGACCTCAGACTCGGATTCTGAGTAGTCCGTGCCATTAAGAAATATTTTTAACTGAATTTTTTTATTTTATCTTTTTTATGTAAATATTTTTTTTGGTAGAAGTGTAGTATTTAATTTTTTGTTTTGTTTGTTGCTTGAATTCACTTTAATTTATTATTTTTATACAACATGTACCTCTAGATATAAGAAAAACCAGTACAATAAGTAATGTGATGAATTTTTTTAGTTTAAGATATATTACTCTTTTTAAAAACTAGTAGGCTTAGTAACAAAATGGATCTCCATATATGATTTTCTTTTTATTGTGATGGTATTGAATACCAGTAAATGTAAATAAGACTGATATGAAAAAAACTAAAAAAAAAATAAGTATTTTTGATATGCATATGTAAATAAAAACCTAAGAAACTCTTTAATTAAGTCTTGTTTTATTGATACTTAAATAGTTTGAAGGAATTCATTGAAAATTTCATTTCGTACTCTTAAACCATCTTCAGAGTCGGATATATTTCGCGCAGATTGGACCGATTCTATATTAATAGTTTCATTCTCAGTAACCAGGGAAGATAGGTCAAAATCATCTGCAAGAATGCAAATGTTGTGCAATATAAATGCCGCAAATACGGTTTTTATACAGTTTTCAATTTTCAATTCCAAATCTCTATTAAATATGTTTCTCCATCTATTTTTTTAAATTCCAAAAGCTGCTTCAACAACTATTCTTCCTCTACTATGCGCAACGTTGAACCTGGCTTGATTTGATGTCAGAGGTTCTTTGAATGGGGTGATAACTGCCACCGGAAACGTTTGGCATGGGTATCCTTTATCACCGAATAAGAATTGGCCCCGGGGAGGATAGTCTCCCCTAGCATATAAGGGGCTATTCACAAACACTCGTGTATCGTGTACAGATCCTGGGTAGCCAATGAAAACATCTGTAAATTTATAATCGCTGTCCACAACCGCCTGCGCCTGGATAGAATAGAACCTTTTATGATTGATGTATTCATCGTGTTTGTTGACAGGACATTTTATGCGAATATGTGTGCCATCAATCGCTCCAACAAAATTACGAAACGCGTTTGATTTTGTTTTTTTGGCAGAATTTATCAGCAACCCTTTCATTTTCTTCTGCAGTGCCATGCCGTATTAAACCACGCATTGCAATAATTTCTTTCAAGGTTTTGTGAATAACGTTTCGTGCCAAGAATGATAGAATACAAGATTGCGCCAATCGAGCTGAGAGCAACTGGCCGTGACGTCAAAAAATACCAGAATGAGAGAACAAGACGAACTCGACAAGAAAAAGAGGAAGCATCGACCAAAAGGCAGTGTTGCCAAGTTTTGACTTTGAAAAAGCACCAAATTTTTATTGGTGTATTTAATGGACTTTATATGAATACATAATTTTATTGTAAGGATGCCGATTCAAAAATCAATGTTTCTTGCACAACGGTCGATTTCTTCTGGCATGGTTGAAGGTGCTGCCACATATTTCTTTGTCACTTATGATTGTCACTGTGCCATGATTTTGTTTAAATTTTTGTAAAATTGCTTACCACACTTACGATTGCTATAAATTTTGCTTCAATTTTTTTAAGATTTTCTAATTTGGTGTCTTCAAACTAAAAACAAAAGCACCAAAAACGCACCAAGCACAAAACTCAAAAATTTTCGCGTTTTGAATACCCACTAAATTTGGTGCGAAAAGCATCAAGTTGGCAACAGTGAATGTAAACAAAAGTATTTTATGACGTCAGCGATTGGGTGGATGCTGTCAAATCGACGAAGAGAGGGTTAGCGGTCCGCGAATGGCGCGACCTTTATTTTCTGGATCGTGGTTTCGTGCAGTGAAACGGCTTATGCCTAAAAATCCAGCAACTACTCGATAGCTGCATCCACATGCCATCCAATACAAAAAGCAAATGACTTCGTACTCCACTGACCATCCGTGGCGCTTTTTGGGAATGTGAGTTACAATTTTTCGAAACGAAGCAGAGGACAACCTAAGATGCATTTTTGTAGTCTTGTTATCGCCGTTCATAATGCTGCTTAGTATTTTGGAATAAACGTCTTGTTGCATGTACATAATACCCTAAAACGACATATGTTTTTATTGCAAACAATTGTACACGGTTTTAAAAATTTTTGTGAACACACTTACCAGACGGTTTTGACATGTTTTTATTTCTAATATTACTGCTAAAAGGTCTAATAAATGCATGGATTTCAGTTCCAGAAGAATTGAAATCATCAAAGGCAAATATTTTCTATATAATTGCTGCATTTTATAA